GATCCAAAGAAGACTGCTATTATGAGAGGTGATGGGAATAGCAGTTGAGGGACAGGGAATTAATGGCTCCTGATTTATTATTTTTCTTAGTCTGTAAGCAGTTAAATTATTCTTCCAATCTATTTTTTAAAACAAATTAAATCAATGATGGCTATTATATGAACCCAATTTCTCCATTATTCCTAAAATGTTTTAAATCAGGTCAATGCAGCCTGGGACCAAAACACATGTATATCAGGACTATCTTAGTAAGATCTTTTAGGAAGATCTTAGTCTTCCTAAAAACTAACAAAATGCTACCATGATACAGTAAACTGAGCAGCTTAAACAATAGAGACTTTTCTCACAGTTATGAAGGCTGAGAAGTCCAAGATCAAGATGGTGGCCAATTCAGTTTCTGGTGAGGATGTTCTTCTTAGCTTACAGATAGCTCCTTTCTTGCTGTGTCCTCACGTAGTGGAGATAGAGAGAGATTAAGGCCCCATTTTTATGACCACATTAAACCTCAATTACCTTCCAAAGATCCTGTCTCCAGATACAGCCACATTGTGAGCTAGGAATTCAGCATATGAATTTTGTAAGGACACAATTCAGTCCATACATAGCTAAGACGAAGAAAAGATGCTTAGAGAGTTATTCACGGAGTATCTAATTCCAAAAGAATGTTGAGATAGCTAAATAGGGATTTTTTTAGTACTTATAAAATACCTTTGTTTCATGGCATTTCATAACACTGAATTAAATGTCTTACGAAATGATAGAAAATTGAACTCACCCATTTAATGACATCTGGATAAGCTGGAACATCTGGATTTAATGTTTAAAATAAATTTAAAACCAGAAAATGTCTAATTTTTTATTTTAATCTTGTCTCATTTATTTCAATGGGGAAAGAGCTTAGGCAACAACATCTGTTCCTGAGCCTTGGGAAAGGAGTGCATATACATGAAACATACAATCATAAACAGACCAGTCAGGGGACAAAGACTTTTCTAGCTTAAAAATGGAATGACAAGCAGTAGTAAAAGCTAGATGGGTCTCTGAGAAGAAGAAAAAATGTTTCCAGAATAATCATAACAGGCAAAGAAAGATTCTCCAGAGAATGATAATGATTATAAATTTTCTTAAAGCCTTTTGTTTTTATATGGCAGCAAATAGTCAAGATTAGTGGATAGTCATCATTAGTCTTGAAAGCTCTCTGGAGTACAACAGCAAATGGTTGTCTTAAATTCCAACATAAGGATATATAGATATATATTTTTTTAAATAGCAAATACCAATTCTTTTATGTTATAGTGTTATACCTACTAGCTACAGAAGAGAATCTGAGGATTTCATTCCTAAATTGTGCTAAAGTACAAGAAGCCTTGAGTTCTATGGTTAATTAAGTAGCTCATTAAAGAAATCAAGGGTCAAACACTTTCCACCTTTACAATGTGTTATCTTCAGTGCATCTTCATGATTTTCAAACTGGTTTATGCAGTCCCAAATGTGGAAGACATATTTGGCTTGAAAAAGAAGAATATTTCCTTAGGATGCCTCAATTTGTTGTTTTTGTTTCTGATGTTAAAGAAACTCTTCCCTAGACACTTCCCAGTAGATTTAGTCTCCATGCAAGAGGAGAATAGGTAGGGAAGGAAAGTATCTGATATCATCAGCCTTCCTAATAGAAGGAAAGCTCTGTTATCAAGGAGCAGAGTTGAGGAGAGAAAAGAACTCTTGGGCATGTGACAGTGATGACTGCTATACCTTCACTATAAAATTTTAGGAAAGGGGTAAGTGAGAAAATATTATGGAGTTGATAGGCACAGGTATGGTATCCTGCAGAATTTGTTAGAATCCTATAAGCTTAGGCTAGTCATTCGGCTCTTTCATTTGCTCATACATAAAAAGAATGCATCTGTTTAAAAATAGCTATGAATTAGAGACAAAATATACGTAAGCATTATATGGCACCTAATGTATAGAATATGCTCAGTCATTAATACCTATTATTACATTAAAACAGCTCTATTCACACATGAGTATTACTAACAGAATTATACACTTAATTTTTTTTATTCTTTATAGGTTCATCTTCATATTCTTTTCTTTCCTAATTTCTAGAGCTAATGTTTTTACAGACTGATGTAGATTAAAAAATTAAATTACTTAATGGTGTAGAAAAAGTAAAATAAATGATAGTAAAATAAATGAAGTAAAATAAAATGATAAGTAGATATAACAAATAATGGCAAAACACTATTTCTTGAAATTCAAAACCTCATTTTACCAAGAGAAGACCTAACACTTCATAGGTAAGTGTTTAATAACACCAAATGAATAAATAAAGTTCAGTGAGGTAAACTGGCTAGTAGCTGAATACTGCAGCTCAAGGAGAAGAATGACTTCAAACACAATGTTGATACAACATGTTAAATGGTATTAGTAAACTTCCAGTGCATATGCCTAGCATTAATTCAAAAGTCTTTTTTGTTGTTGTTGTTGTTCCCAGCAATAACCTCAGAGCTTAAAGGAAAGTGGACAATAAAATAAACCACACTTTTTTATGAAACTAGGAGAAACTAAATTTTTCAGACTCTAAAACTGGTGAAAGGGCTGTTGAAAATAGTGGAAGTTGACCAGGGAGATCAAGAATTCTAAGGGAAGAAGTAGGGGAAAGACACTACACAAAGATAACCTAGGGGCAAGAAAACTCAGTATCTCCATTTATCAGAAGGAACCTGGGAGTTACATTTCTTGAAAATGAAAGGCCACCACTAAAGTGCAAAAGCTGTTGTAAGGGACATTACTGGACCTTTTTTGGTTGTGAGAAGCACAGGAGGCAGGGCAAGATGCTAAATTCACACAGATAACCATGTTTTTAGGAACCAGACTACATAATGGGCAGTGGAGAAAAGAACTGCCTTTATGTTGATCAAGATGCCTTTCTCCCTTGTACAAAGGTAAACAAAAGCGACATCACCTTATGTACTCAATGTCCCAAACCCCAGCCTATCTGGAATATCACCTACAGCTCTTTTATATGTACTATCTTCCTGCAAATAGCCAGTCCCTGGAGAAAATAACCTCTTTTGATAGTGAGCAATAAAAAAAGCAGTTCATGATTATTAAAATATACTTACTTTTTAAAAAAGAAGTAAGAAAGAGAAAAAAATAAGTAAAGAACACTTATCATGGACTAGGTAAAAACTGTGGCCATACATTTCTCCATGAATTTTAATTAAAGTAATTGCTTTGTAAATAAGACCACAAACAGAAGATTTTAGTCAGGAGATTGTAAGAAAACTAGAAGAAATGAAATATAAGATATAAGAGTACAAGAAAGAAGTCAAGGAAACGTAGATCATCACAAAAATGAAAACAGTATTAAAAAGAACACAAAGAATAAACCACAGAAATTATAGTAGAGACAAAATAATAAATATGAGTAAAGCAAACAAAGTTAATGAAAGTAAAGTATTTTGAAGCATTAGGATAACAATGGTAGAAACAGAAGTAGAAAGAGATCCAAGATACACATAAAAAGTTCCTGAATAAGAAAACAAAATTGATGGAGGAAAATATTTAAAGGTATAATGAAAGAGAATAATAATGTATTTGGTCCTCAAGATGGTAGAATAAGAGGTGCTTAACTTCACTACCCTCTACAGGAAGTTTAACTAACAAATATCCACAAACAAGAAAACCTTGTTGAAAATCCCAACATTGCAAGTAAGTTCGAGTCACCTGCATGAGCAGCAGGACAAGTTAGGAGAAATGGTCTCCTTTGACTGTGTAGTCCCTCCTCCCCTCCCTAAATCTTCACAGCACCACACAGTGAGGGTTTCCCAGAGACCACACTTTCTATAGAGGGAAAAGAGAGCCAGAGAGGATGCCCTGTTTTCCTGGCATTCTGACATACCTCCCAGGAAGTCTACTCCTGTCTCTCCTAAAGGGAAGACAAGGGAAAACAGCATGGCTAGACCACCTAAGGTCAAGTAGAAACAAAACAAGGAGGCTGAGCACATAAATCTTGGTGGCAGTTCTTTGTACTTGCCAAGAGCGGTACCAGCTATAGTGTAGCCCACACACAAAGCTGTGCTGGTTGTTCCAAAAATGGTAGGAAATTTCTATCTGGCTTGACTCCTTAGACAGATAGTCTCTAGGACCAGCTTCATTCTATCCTGGGGTACTATCTAGGTAAGGAAACTACTGACAAAGCAAATTTCAGCAAAAAGCAAAATCTAGTTGCACCATATTCAGTACTTTACACAGTGCCAGACTCAGCTTAAAGTCTACCTCAAGGCCCTGCATAGATAGAAAATCAAAGCATGACTGTCCACTGAACAAAGCAGGTGGCCCTGTCCATCTTAACCAGTGACTCCACCTAACCTTGGGATACCCCAGCAACCATGTCCAACTACTGAACTCAAATAGTGGCACCAACTACCCAGGGAATACAACCTGTGTCCTGGCCTGATCTGAAGTGACTGCAGCGCTCATCCAGCAGCTTAGTCTTTATGCAGAGCTCAATTAGCTATCCCATCTGAACTCAGAGAAGAAGTACTAACCCAACCACCTAGAGAACCTAAAAGCAAGCCCTTCCTTCCCCTGGTCACCACCAGCTGGCCCATCCAGAATCAATGAAAAACATCTGTAAAATTGGGAGAAGGTAGATGTCTCCTCAAATATGCGGATACCAAGGCAAGGACGCAAAGACTCCAGAGATTCAGGAAATCATGCCACCTCCAAGAGAAACTAACAAAGACCCGATGATGACCCCAAAGAAAGGCAAATCTATAAAATAACAAAGAAGTCAGAATAATCTTCCTACAGAAATTCAGAAAAATTAAATAAAATTTGAAAAACAATACCTTAAAATGATAAATTTGACAAAGAAATAAAAATAATAATTAAAAAAATAGAAATCCTCGGGATGAAGAACACAATGGCTGACCTGGAAAATGTAATGGAAAGTTTAATAGCAGGATCAATCAAGCTGCAGAAAGAATCAGTGAGCTTGTGCTCACTTCAGCAATGCATATGCTAAGGTCAGAACAATACAGAGAAGATTAGCATGACCCCTGTGCAAAGAAGACACACAAATTCATGAAGCATTCCATATTTTTGAAACACATTCTTCTTAGTAAAATATCACAAGAATGGAAAAGCAAGTATCCAATGTACTCCATACTAATATAAAGCCAGTAGACAAACTAATACACATACACATAAGAGAGAAACTCAACTTAATTCAAGTTGGGGTGAGGGAGAAGGAGGAAGAAGGAGGGAGGGGGATTTGTGTGCTCCCACTTAATGGGTACAATGTAAAAGTAATGCCACACTCCCTGGGTGTGGGACACAACTACAAGAGGGACTCTACCTAACAAATATAAACATTGTAACCTAGCTGTTTGTACCCTCATATTGATCTGAAATTTAAAAAGAGCAAAAAAGCAAGTAAAACAAACTCCAAAAAATTAGTGAGCTTGAAGACAAAACATTTAAAATTATCTAGTCGAAGAAACAAAAATTGTGTCAGCTGCTAACAGCTGTTAGTCAAAATTTTATCTCTCTGAGAACAGATAAATTTTATGAAGAACATATTATCATTGTGAATTATCAAAAGAAGATTTCTATAGGAATGCAGCATTTCTGTGTGATATCACGTCAAATCAAAATGACTTGAACATTTCTTTCAAGGTAAAACTAAGTCTATACATGATACGTGGAAAAATATCCAAGCATTAAAAAGAAAAAAAAAAGCTATCTTTTCAAAACACTTCTTCAAAAGGAAATTGTATATGAGCATTTTCCCCAATAAGCAAAAGTCCCTGATGAATAAGATGATTATGCAAATTATTTGTACAATATGCATAGCTGTTATAGACCTATTAGTTGAAGAATACAATGGAAGTTTTTTGGACTTTGACAATCATAACATTATACTCAAATTAGCATTTCAGCCTTTCCTAGTTGATATCACCAAGATACTTACAGATCTGCAGATACAACTGATTGAACTCTCAGTGGATGACATGGTTAAGTCATTTTCAAAGTCATTGCCTGAAACTAAGAAAGATCCAATTGAAATATGGGAAAATGCAGTAGAATATCCACACCTTCAGCAACATGCCTAAAAAATTCTTTCTTGCTTTCCAACCACTCATTGCTATGAATCTATATTCTCCTACCTAACCCCAATCAAGAAGTCCTTAAGGTCACAAATGACTCATAACTTTCTAGAGGATCAGCTGGAACCACAGACTTCCATGCTATTAAATATTCAAATACTTTCCAACAAAAAAGCAAATACAACAATGTCATTAAAAGGCTAGTTAACTTTAAAATTAACAAATGAGTCTGAACACAGTGACTCAACACCTGTAATCTTAGCACTCTGGGAAGCTGAGGCAGGTGGATTGCCTGAGCTCAGGAGTTCAAGAACAGCCTGAGCAAGACTGAGACCCTGTCTCTAAAAAAATAGCCAGGCATTGTGGTGGGTGCCTGTAATCCAAGCTATTCAGGAGGCTGAGGCAAGAGGATCACTTGACCCCAGGAGATGGAGGTTGCTGTTAGCTATGATGACGTGGTACTCTACTGAAGGTGACAAAGTAAGACTCTGTCCCAAAAAACAAAAGTAAATAAATAAAATTAACAAATAGTTTTCATGTTTTGAAATTGTTAAGTACACAGTAGCTAGATCTTTATTAATACAAAATTATGTACCTTTAAAAATAATGTACATTTTTAAATATATCTAACTGAAGTTTCTTAAATGTGGCCTTATTTGATTACAGCTAAATTAATGCAATCTTCCAACATGAAAAGTTTCTCTACTTCTCGTCTAGAATCCAGAATATATAAATAACACCTACAATTCAAAAGTAAAGGTAACCCATAAAAGGGCAAAGAATTTAAATAGGCATTTCTCCCTAAAAGATATGCAAATGCATAATAGACACATATAAAGATGGTAAATATCATTATCCGTAAAGGAAATGCAAATTGAAACTGTGATGCCACTTCACACCCACTCAGATGGCTATAATCAAAAAGAACAGATAATAGCAAGTATTGGCAAGGACCCAGCGAAATTGGAACCTGCACTGCCTGCTGCTGGGAATGCAAAATGCTTCAGCTGATACAGAAAACTTTCTGACATTTCCTCAAAAGTTTAAATATAAAGTTATTATATTACCCAGCAATTCCATTCCTATGTATATGCCTAAAAGAAATGAAAATACATGTCTTCGTAAAAACTCGAACATGAATATTTATAGCAGCATTATTCATAATAGCTATCAATGGATGAATAATAAACAAAATAGGGCATGTTAATACAATGGGATACTGTGTCACAGAAAAAATCAAGTATTTATCCATGGCATAATACAGATGAACCTTGAGAACATTATGGACAAGAATCAAGTATTTATCCATGGTATAATACAGACGAACCTTGAGAACATTATGGTAAAAGAGAGAAGACAGATAAATGTACTGTACAATGTCATTCATAAGAAATACCCAGAACAAGTAAATCCAAAGAGAAGGTAATTAGTGTTTGCCTAGGGAGGTGATGGGATGATAGGTAGGGAGGAATGGAGACTGACTACTAATGTGCATGCACTTTCTTTTTGGGGTAATATACATATTCTAAAATTAAATTGTGGTGATAGTTCAAAATCTCTGGAAATACTCTAGAAATACTAAAACTCACTGTACACTTAAGTGAATTTCATATCCTGTACCATCTAACTCAACAAAGATATAAAAGGAAGGAAACTACTGTTTAGTGGGTGCAACTGCTTCTACTGCCTTTCTTCATTCCCTCTCTCCCCAACTTTTTAGCACTGGACCAAGCGTAGGGGTACTTGGTAGACTCTCTGCTGATAATTTAGAACTGGAGGGGGAAATTTTTAGAAGATGTCAGTTGTGTTAAGTTGGGGTGTCCAAAAATAGTGTTACTTCTTTGACTGTCTTTGGAAATCCTTTTATTCATTGCACTGCTATGCTTATGCCTCTTTTTGGTTTTTAATCTTTTCTCAACCTGTCCCACTGTGATGCTGGTAAGCCCAGTCTACCCGGTGGTTCTATGAACATGATGCAGAGCTGTTTGAGGGCTCAGGTGCATCTCTATCCCCACCAGTTTCCTCTTGCTTCATTCTTGGAAGTGCCATGTTGTTGTTATAGCATCGAACACAAAGTTTGACCAAGGTGAGAGGATATAAATGGAAAGCCCTACCTTAGGCTGCAACCACAAAACTGATACAAGGGTCACTATGAAAGTTTTGAGACCATCTGTGATGTGGTCCATTATCTCACTTCCAAGAAACACAGTCGACAGCGTCCTTTCTGATTCACCTGTGCAAGTTTCATCTTCCTTGGCTCATCAGTGTTGCTGGGAGGGCTTCATTTGTTTCCATCCACACAGATGTTGTTTCGGGATTTTTGTGTATCTCAAAACTCTCATAATGACCCACATTTCTGGATTTTCTCTGAGAGATAAGGGTTTCAGTGAGACTGTTCTGGAACATTAAATAACCAGAGTGTTGGTTTTTGTTTTTGTTTTTCCCTGGATAACCTTCAGTATATGATGTCAAGTTCTCCTTAGAAATCTAACTTCTCTGGAAATGAATCTTTGACAAATAACTTAATCTTGAGACTGATCTTCCTGGGTGTCTTCAAATCTATTGTTCTTTATGGCCCTAAGCTCCTGTGCCTACTAACTAGGTGGGTCTAGAGTGGTAATTTTTAGATAGTATATATTGTCAAATCTTTTCTGAACTTATCATATTAGTATGCCCAGTTAGTGAGACTCTTTTGCTGGCTATTTTTATTTCTTGTTTCCTTCATTCTATAAAATAGGATAAAAACATACACCTCGGGGTACAAGTGTGTCTGTTTACAAATACATGCATACAAGCCACTCTAAGTGCAGATACTGGGGTCTTGAATCCCTAGCCACTGCCCAGAATGTTTGTAGCTGCAAAATGTTAGATAAATTACAGTGAAAGTAACCATCATCTCTCCCTGCAAACCTCCCAAACACATTTCTTTTCAGAAATGAGACTTTGGCTTATATTCAAGATAAAAAAGAGAACAAAACTAAGAGAAAGTTTTGTTTTCTAGAGTAAGATGATAGCTTTGGAAGAAGTACTTTTTGGCCCATTAGAGTAAGTAACATTAGATTCATGAAGACAAAGAAAAGCTAAATTTAGGACCTTGTGTCCAAACCATACTAATTCTTTAGGCCCCAATCCTTTTATTTCCTGTCCTGATGCTAACTTCTGATAACCAACGTGGCCCCGGTTCCTGGCTGTGGAGCATACTACTCATCCCTACCCAAGCTATGATACCACATTTTCCAGGAACAAAAGAGGTATTCTGGAAGCATAGATTTCTAAATGACTGGCTCATGGATAAGTTTTATTTTGTTTGTCTTTTCAGAAGTCTCCAATCCTATCCTGTTTTTATATTAAACCACATATCAGATACTCTATGAACCAGACATTGATGAAATTTCCACACTTGGGGCTGGGTTTTAATCAAATTATACCTCTGCTTGTCACCTAGTATCAATTTAAAATTTTCCAAAGCTTTAGAAATGAGAGCAGGGTTTACTTGTTAGAGTTTTTCGGAGACATTTTAGCCAAACTGTTTATAAATTGTGCCTGTGTGTTTGCCTGAAAGCCTTCTTTCCCCTTCTCCCTTCCGACTTGAGGAGAGGCTGGTTTATTACCGCGGAGTTCTGTCCATTGTTTGGGTCAGCACTGATCTCCCCCTGTGCCATGCAGTGCCATGCAGTGCCGTGCTGGGAGCGACTTCCTTGCCTTTTTCTTTCGGCTGAGACTTTGCCAGGACCTAGGGATGAACAGACTGAGGATGCGACAGACAGGTCTAATGAGTAGATTGATACCCTCCGGGTGGCAACAAACAGTTCACTTCCTGTTTGTTTCCCAATGCATCCCGAACTCTCCTGAGGTGATCTTATTTCTGCATATTTTGTAACTCTCATGGGCATGAGTGAGATAGGAGAGAAGAAGAGATTGAAATGCTGAAAGGACAGGACCAAAGCGGACAGTGCTCCCTGCAGCTTGCCTTTGATCCAGGTACCAAGTGATCC